TGCTTATAAAAGGGAAAGACAGACAGTGGTGTCTTCACCTCAATAATACCAGGCTGCGTCCACGTCGCTCCCTCTGGGGTTGTTAACATGTTTATATGTGGACAATGTCACCGCTCGTCTTTCTCCTTCAGTGGCCTAATTGATCTGCTCCTAATTATGTAACATTTCACTTCAAAAATGACACCGTGCCGCAGTCGTTACACCACATAATTAGCATCCAGCTAAGCTATAGTAAGTCCATCCATACAGTGGCACAGAGTTAGGAGGCGACTGGGTGGGATTAGCAGCTGCCCAAGGACCCAGTGTTCTTCACTCCTTCAGCCACTCTGAGATTAATAGACCACTTTAAATTCCACTTTAGCTCAGGCAGGCCTGAAAACACATCAAGGAGTTGAAAAATTAATTCAGTTCCTCATTCATCCTCATGTGCGGTCTCTCTCTCTCTCTTTCATGTGTGTCCTCTGTCGTCATGCCGTGTGAATAAATGCAGTTGTTCTGTACCAACCTGGTCTAGTCACTGCACCACAGCACTGCTGACCAGAGCAGAGGGCAGCCGCGCTGGGCGAAGCTGAGACGAAGTCTCTCATCGTCTCAGACTATCACAAAAACACATCTGCTCTTTGAGAAGACACCACTCAGAGGAGTCGTCCAGAATCTTTGGGCTAATTTCTGTGGAAATTCTTTTGGTAACCTTCCCGTGAAAATACACAAAGACGGATCACGTTATGGCAGCTTTGCTAAAGACAAAAATATTTTTGCTTTTGTTTGATTGATCACATCTCTGTAAATGTGAGTGCAGGTCGCTCTCTGTTTCTGTCCAGTCCTCTGTGAGCCAACTCCTCCATCCTCCTCGTGATGCTTTACTCCACGTCAGCTCCGCGTCACATGGCGGGTATAATTAGTTTCAGGGAGGGGGGGCACCCTGGGGAAGGCATAAGAAGAGGATGATGAAGGGAAGGGATGATAAAATGAGTGAAGAAGAGAAGGAGGAGGAGTCTAGTGCACATCCACTGGAGTCAGTCATTTCTCCTTCTTTTATTGCATATAGATGTTACTGGACTCCGAGGCCCCTGGTCTAACTCTGACTCAAAGCTCCTTTTAACTTTAAAATGGCAGCGTTACTCCTCGGTTGAACCATTATAATTTTTTTTAACCATTTTAATTTTATTTTTTAACCTGACTGTGGAGATGCTTCTATTCCAAATAGCTTGAAAAGATTTGCTTAAAAATCCACTGTTCACAGTCGCTGGAGTGTGTCATGATGTATAAACTCACAATTTCACCAGTTTATGGAAATTGGTTTGTAAAAGGAAGTAATAACTGAAGTCAGGTTTAACACGGTGTCATCACATTGGTTAAATAAACGATAATAGCAACGGTGAAATACTGACATTGTTGCAGGTGTAAACCAGTACAGTATTACCTTGAGATACGAGCGTCTCGACATACAAGTATTCCGAAATACGAGCAAGACTTCGAGCAAATGTTTGCTTTGAGAAACAAGTAAAGATTTGAGATATGAGCGAACTTACAGACGCCAACGCTAGGTGGCCGAGTATGTAGTGTTATCTAAGTGATTTTCTCTCTATTTTGTGCATTATTCTTCATAATAGTGATGAGTCCTGACAGAGTGAGTGGTAAGGATGGTAATGAGAAGAAGAAACGTATGATGACCATGGAAATAAAGCATAAAATTGTTAATAGATATGAGCGGCACCACACTCATATTTATGGTGTTTTTTCTATTGTTATTAGCGTTAATAAGGGAGTTTTTAAGGGGTCGGAACAGATTAATCTTTTTCCATTATTTCTAAGGTTAAAAAATGATTTGAGATACGAGCACCTGGAGTTCAGCTCGGTCCTGGAATGGATTATGCTCGTATCTTGAGGTATTACTGTATTTAATATCCTCACATATCAGTCAACATCACCATGAAAGACTTGAATGCCATCATTCTGGGGTTAAAACGATGGTTGGCGAGTGGACGAACACAGCCTTGTTTACACTCGCTGCATGTCTAATGAAGGTGAAAAGGTTACATAAAGCCTCCAGTCAGACAAGAGAGGGCAGAACCCTGACTGCAAAAGGTGTCTTTGTGTTAATAACACAAACAATCACAGCGACAAGGGGCATAAAGTGTGGAAAGTATTTCCATGGCAACAGAGAGATGGAAATAATCACCATGTCAGTACATGCAGACAGAACGCCTCCTGACATCTCATAACCGTGAGTCTGCTTTAATGAGATTTGGTTCAGCGTGATGTCAACGAGTCTGAACGTCTTTGAAAATGTAAATATTACTTAACAAATGAGCATGTAGAACCCCCCGCAGGGTTCCACCTGTGAAGATCTGAGAACAGTGAGGTAGAAACAGATGTAAAAATCAACGTGAAAAATGAAAAGCCTCACTTGTTCAGTAAATAATCCTTGTCCTAAATCTGCTACTGTAGATCAGGTTTGTGTAATAATAACTCCATGTTTTCATAAACCAGAGTGGAGGCTGCACTGGAGTGGACCAGAGTGACTGTCTAATAAAAGGAGGGGAGGATTACGGCTGTGATGAATGACTCCGTCTGTTCACATTCTTGTAAGTCCAGCTCGTCTGGACTCTTGCGGCATAAGCCTAATTTAATCACTCTAAAATACTACAGGATAAAAAAAAAAAAAAACAACGTCAATATCAGACCACAATGCAGCATGACATTGAATCAACCTTCGCTT